GGCAGCACACAGCCCCAACCCCCTGCTCACCAGCAGGGAAGAAGCTAGTGCTGAGTGTGGGGGAAAGTGGCCCCTCGCCTGCCCCATGGCTGGCGCCCTGCGCATCGGGCACTCACAGCCCACGCAGGGTTGTCTGGAGCAGTCACAGGCAGCCTCATGTGGGGTGCCGGCCATGGGGCAGGTGAGGGGCCACTTTTCTCTGTGCAGGGAAGGAGCCCAGCGAAAAGCTGAGCGCGGGGGGGAAGCAGCCTCTCCCCCATGCCCAGTGCCCCATGCTGCAGGCACTCGCAGCCCGCATGGGGCTGTCCAGAGCGGGCACAGGCAGCCCCACATGGGCTGTGAGCAGCTGCAGCACAGGGCACCAGGTGTGGGTAGGGAGGGGCCGCTTCCCTCCCCCACCCCATGCTCCTTCCCTGCCTGGGGTCCCCCCCCCCACTTACCTGAACTTCCCGCACCAGGGCAGCCACGTGCTCCCAGCCCAGAAACCCTGTCTGAGGCTTCCGGCTAGGGGGCAGGACCAGGCTGGCCCCCCTGTTGTGGGAGCCCACTGGGCTTCCCCTGGGTACTACTGCGTTTGGTTCCTATCATTGTTGACAAGAACCAAAGGCAGAGAAATACTAATTTTCTACACTTTTTTAGGGGTCCCATGGGCTGGATAGAATGGCCTCATGCACTGGACCCAGCCCACGGGCCGTATTTTGTCCACCCCTGGGTTAAACCATGAAGTGAGAGACCAGAAAAATAAACAGGCAATATATAAGCCCAGGGGATGAGGGGATAAGTATTTAAGGGCCTTTTTACACCTTACATTGAGAGCCACAGAAATGTTGAGTGTTAGTGCTAGCTTGGAGTTTGGAGCAGTCATATCCTTACGGTGCATCTACACGAGATGCGTTAACGCACATTAGCCTAATTTACTGCACAGTATGGGCACGTATCTACACGTGTGTGCCTTTACTGCTCAGTAAAAATTAGCGTGACTAAATGATTAGTTAATGCACAGTAATGCACATGTAGACGTGTCTCTATGTTGCCTAAGACTGTCAGGGTGATGTCCACGTGCATTGGCTTTGCAAATTCTTGTTCTGCGTTTCAGGGGAAGTAGTGGTGTTTCAATCAAACTTTTATATACTTAGGGCTTTTTTCTTCACTTTTCCATAGTTTTGTTACTTCTATGTACAATGTTGTATTATTACTAATGTCAAGAGGATGATACAACTCTTGCTGCCATTCCTTCAAGTAGAACAATTCCAGGCACTTCCAGTTTCCAAAGAGGCTTCGGTAATACATACAGCTCATAACTGAGGATTTGCTAACTTCAAAATGTATTTGGATAACCCAACAATAATCAGCCATGGCCAGTGTAGGTTCTGGTACTTCTTATGTGAAATGTCAGGAGCCCTACCAAACTGGTTCTGGAAAGCTTTTTAGCCTATGAACCCTTCCTACAGGTCAAGGATTGTTTTGGCAGCTTTGGTTTGATAACATGCTCTTCCATCAGCAGGCACAAGATGGCAATATACAGAAAATAAATATTGCTGACTTTTCACACAGGAACACCATTTCTTAGAAGCACATACTGTGGGTAGACTCCAGTTACTGAGTTTAACGGGGCATGATCTGCACTTATCACTTGCCTAGTCATCCCTCCCCCTAGTCTGCTAAAATACTGACCTGCTTATTCACAAAATGGAAGTTTGTTTCCTGTAAGACAGATAATCTTGTGCAGACTGTGTGCAGAGGACACGAAACTTCCTCAGACTATATAGATGAGAACATGCTCTGGGAAGAATACGATGACACTGGGGATGTACCCATTTTTTTTCAGGAAATATCCATTTTGCATCCAGACACATTCCTTTTACACATTGGCAGATAGACCCCTGTTGCTTACATGCTGCCAGAATCCATCTCTGGAGCATAGAAGTACATCACTGAAGAGGAAATATGTACATGAACACTGCCGCAATCAGCAGAAAAGGAATCATCAGATTGGAGGTGGAAGGACAGACAGAAACAAAGGACAAAAAAGGGCTTCCTGGTTCCTCAGATCCAGCGCGCTGGTCTCTTAGGAATTCATGTCATACAATTCCTTTCCTAAAGTTATTAAGCTCTATTGGCAAATTGAGCTCACGCATGTCTAGTTCAGTGGTGCCCAACCTTTAGCACAGTGGGCCAGCTGAGTGCTGGGGGGGTGGATCTGTAGCTCCGATCCAGTCCATGGACCAGATTCAGTGAAACTGGATTGGGGCCCAGTCTCACATTCCTGATTGCAGCCGCTGTCCTGCACCTAATCAGGCCCCACCACCCCAGCCCAGTGTGTGCTAGATCAGGCCCCGCTGCCCTGGCTTTGGCTCTAAACCCAGCCTCATGCATGTCAGATTAGGCACCACTGCCTGCCCCTAGCACTGTATGTCCAGGTGGCAGGGGCACATCATCTGGCCCAGAGGGCATGAAATATGGCAGTTGGGGAGTGGTGGTACCATTAATTGGCATCGTTCATCCCCCAAGCTGCCCCCTCACTCCTCCCCCTCCCCCGCTTCCCAAATTTCCAGACCTTTGGGGAGCCCCACTGGCCGGATGGCTGGGCAACTAAATTTTCCATGTGTATATTCTGAGTCCTTTAGAGATTCCTATATGGGTTTTGGGGTACCAGGTCACAGGAAGGACAATCCTAAGAAACTTTCGTCTCTTTTATTTGCTCCTCCAACCTGGATAGACCTTATTTGGCCCATTCTCCCTGAAAGGTGCTGTACAACAGATGACACTGTGTTTAGAAATCCTAACAACTGTGGACCACAGCATGTTAAAATATGTATTAGATAGATGTAATGTTGTAGAGTACCTGTTAGATTTAGTGACATAGAAAGCTTGACAGCTTTCTTGAATTTTGGTAATAACTCCTTTAGGTTAGCCTCATAAAGTTATTACAGCTGTTTAAAGGACTATTTGACTTGAGCATCAGTAAAGTCATAGACATTTTTCTGAGATTTAGACTGTAAGAAACAGTGGGAGCTTACGTAGAGAAATTAAATGTTGCCTATCATAATCATCAGCTAAGCTTCTCCCATTGGTGTTTAGGCGCTATAAAGTAGCTGTGGTTTGGAGTGGAGACTGTGATTTTAGAATGATGCATATTTTTTGACAAGTCACTTATTTACAGAAAAAATGCAGACTGAGGACAGCTGAAGCTATTCCCCAATTTGTCTTTAATTTAGTGAGCAGTGAACAGTTTGGGGAAAGAAAAAAATGAAAATATTAAAAGGATTTGTTTTGACATTTCTCAAATGATTGTTTTTTAATTTTGTGGGCAACAGGGGGTTCAGGTACTATTCAGAACCACAGCATGACAAGTTGCATGATTTTTAGGACTGAGCATAAACTCAATGGCAGACCAACTGGGGGTGGTATGGCCCCCAGGCGCCAACCATGTGGGGGGGTGGCAGCCAGGCCCTTCAGAGTTTTTATTGCTTGATGTGACCAGGGCCAGCGTGTCCTATCTGTGAAACCTGTGGCTGCAGGGGGCCCTGCAGAGCTGGCAGTGATGGCCGCGTTTGTTATATAGCCTGCCCCCC